GCCGTGGCGGCGCCGCTCGCCTTGCCCGCCGCCGGGTGGACGGCCGAGCTGGCCCTCCTCCGGCCCGTCGGACGGGGTGCGGGCTCCCCGTCGCCCGGCGCATCGCCGCTACCACCAACACCACCGGCGCCATCATTATTGGTATCGTCGTCGTCGCCGTCGACGCCCGCGCGCGGCTCGAGCACGCCGTCGCCGATGTCGGTGCTATCGATGATGAAGACGATGGCGTGGCAGCTCGTGTAGTAGCTCTGCCACAGCTTGCGCAGGCTGTGCTGCCCGCCCACGTCCCAGACCTTCATGTACATGTCGGGCAGCGTGATGGTGGACACGTTCTGCCCGACCGTCGGCACCGTCTTGAGCTTGGGCTCGGGCGCGTCCGGGTGGAAGAGCGCCTTGACCTGCTCGTGGAACGTCGTCTTGCCCGCGTTGTCGAGCCCGAGCAGGATGACCGAGTATTCTGCCGAGGAGGAGGACGAAAAGAGGCGCGCTGTCAGCAGGATGATTTGCCTCCCTCCGTGTAGTGGGCCATGGGGCAGGAGGAAGCAAGCGGCCGCGGACAGGAGACGGGATATGCGGGAACACTAGACGCACCCTCCTTGCTCGTCGCGAGCATGTACAGCCCTTTGGCGAGGTGGTACATGGCGGGCAGGGTGGCGCTGGGTGGTCGTCGTGGATGGGGGGTTTACGAGGGTGCGGGCAAAGGTCCCAAGTGTTAACAGGGTGCGCGCGTTGCTCCAGGGCTCATGACGGTCGGTCTTCGCGAGCTTCGTGTCGGCTGGTCGCGCCGCATGGAATCGCAGCTGATGTCGTCACCGGCGCGCATCAAGATCAGAGGGCGTGTGGGGGGTGGGTGTGCCCGTCCGTAACGAGTCTTCTCAATGGGTCGAGTTGGCACTACGCGAACAAGGAGAGGTTCCATAAGGCTGACATGCGCGGAATCGGAGCTCTAGGCCAGGCCCTCTAATCCATCAAGCATGTGGGGTTCGCCAGCAGCCCCAGCCGCCTGACCATAGAACAACCTACAGGATGCTGTAAATGCAACTGCAGACCTTTTTACATGTCGGAAAATTATGTTTCTTCTATAGGCGGTGACCTCGGCAGTTGACTGCTCGACTATCTGTACTTGGACCTCATCATCTCGTAGCTTACTTAGGTGCATCGTCTAGCTGCAGACCTAACCAGAAAAACAACACCCCCAGATCGATCCCATCGCCCCAAAAACGCCAAATCAGTTGCTCGTGTCTTCGCTCTGCTGTTTTAGTTTCTTCTTGGTATGCTGTTTCTCCCTCCTTCGTTGAACAAATCTGGACAATACCATAAACCTAGCCGGCTTGTCCAGCAGTTGGTTTTGACCAGAACCGCCAGGCCATCCATCCCAAGTGATTCCGTCCAACCGCAGCCGCAAGCCAACCAAATGCATGCCAGTCAAGTCTATGCCAAAAAAAAAATGTGATTAAAAGGCCAGAGGGGAACAAAAACGGATGTACATGAAGGGGGAAATGAAGACAATGCGAAGTGCAGGACGGACAAAAGGAATAATACCCAACGCAGCATCGGATCTAGCTTCTGCTGAGGGTGCATGAGTAAAGAGGGAGGAAACCAAGCGAACAGTGCTGGTACTTCTCCCTCCAACGCACCCGTGCAAGAGACGACGCCGGATACCAGGCGGATAATCCCGACACTCTGCCGAGAGATTGTGGCCTCTTAAGAGTTCGCATCCTTGTTGCTCTGGGCACTGGCGCTCATAACAGGCTGCTGGGTCGGCAGAGCGCTCTTTGCCTGCTGGGACTGACGAGCCTTGGCCCAGGCGTAGACGATACCGCTGATGAAACCAAGCACAATGGCCGAGACGGAGCCGAAGGTGACGGGGGCATCGAAGAAGACGAGACCGCTGATGGCGATGGGCAGCTTGTTGAGGGCGCCAACCATGGAGTAAGTCGTTGAGGTCGTCACACGGATACACCACGCCGAACAGTACGAGATGAAGATGGCGGCGAGGCCCGAGTAGATCATGCCGATGAAGAGCGTGTTGCGGGTCTCGATGGGAAAGTTCCTGGCCAGGTTGGCGCCAGACCAGTCCTCAGCAATCAGTGAGCAGACGACGAGGACGGGAATGGTAAGGAGGTTGTTGTAGAACATGGCTAAATATCCGTCTGTTAGTATTCCACAAATTACGCCCTGGCAACTACTGTATCGACATCAGGAGAAATACTAACAGTCCCAGTCCTTGAAGTTCATCTTGTGGATGACCTTGCGCATGGTCAGGAGGTAGGCGGCGCTGCAGAAAACGTTCATGCCCATCCATGCGTAGCCCGCATTGAGGGTGGAAATGGCAGCAGAGGCATGTCCCGGATGCGGGGCGCCAGAAATGGCGCTCTGGATATCGGCCCAGGCAGCGACAACGGAGCTGAGGACGATGAGACCGAAGGAGAGCAGCGCGAGAGGGGTGACACGGCCGCCAAACCAGAGAACCTCTCCGTACGCAATGGCAATGATGGTGAGGTTCTTAAAGATGGTGTAGACCGGAACCGAGAGGAACTGGAGAGCCTTGGTGCTCGTGTAGATCATGCCTACGAGGAGAATCGAGATGGGGAACCCTGTAGTCACAGCACGTCAGCTTCCGCGCCGTCACCGCCGTTTTTGACATGTGGAGACAACAAAGGATTTCTTGGCACGTACATCTCTTTGCCTTGGTCTGGTCATAGGGGGCCAGGTTTGTGATGAGCCCTGCTTGCTTGCAGACCATGATAGCCGCGATACATACAATAGCCTGCAGAGATCCTGTCAGCCCTGCCTCTGGTCTTGTCCGGGTGGAGTGGGTGTTTTTACCTGCACAGCGAGGTAGAAGAAGTTCAGGTTCCACGAAGAGCCTGAAACGACATATTTGTTCACCACCGTCATGCTGATGGAGGAGAGGCAGTAGGCCAGAATGGAGACACCCGGGCTATTATCGATCTTCGACAGTCCCAAGGCGCCGCCAGCGCCGCCCCCGCTGGAGCGTGCCCGGTTCGAGATGGGCGACCTTGCCAGGAAAGGCTCCTTCTCGACGCTGCTCTGAGCAGGCATATTGACGACGAAGTCCTCGTTCTTCTTGTCCGACATCTTGGACGACTGTTTGACGTGTTAAAGCGCAGGCGCTGGAGAGATTATGGTGTCCTCGTCGAAGGACAGAGATGCAAAGGGACAGGTTTGAAAGGGGGTCAGCCAAGGCGGTGCGCTGCTTGTGGCTAGCTGGACAGGAGGGTCCGCTGTTTTGGGGTTGCGGCGCGGCGATGCTTGAAAAGGCCACGGCCGTCGAATGCGCGCGGATGAAGAATGGAAGTCCCGGGGAAGGAGGGCGGGATTGATTAAGATCTCCAGCGGTCAGCTTCGTGCTGCGGACGGACGCGTCGAGGACAAGGCAGTTGAGAGCATGAAAAAAACCGAGGGCGGACTCAGGCGCAAGATTAAAACCTGGCAAATTGCTTATCGGGAACTCCCACCCCCCGTTGAAATGACCATGCATCGCTGGTCCTAACTTGGCAGAGGGTACAGTGCGCCAGGCGGTGTCGAGGCGGCACAACCAACGGGACTGACTAATGTGGGGTTCACGTCACAATTTGGGCAGGGGATAATGGGTCCGCAAAATAAAAACATGGCGTAGGAAAAAGGGGCTGAAAAGGGGAGCTAGTCTGGCTAGAGCCATCTGCATCTGCGGGGGGACCCTGATTGGCTGGCAGCGCTGCCAAACCCCGTGGCTGTGTTCCCGTACCGTGCGTTCACACCACGGCCGCTCAGCCTCTGGGATCAACAGCCAGGAGGACCAGGTTGATGGCTCGGACTGGAAAGGGTTGGATGGACTCTGAACAATCCGCACACCGACCGGCCGGTAGGCGTTACGAAAGCCATTGATGCACGATCCACATGGACTAGGCATCCGCCTATTGTGGACCAAGTTGGCAATCAACTGACTAAACAGAGAACTAACACATACTGTGCCTCCATTCAGATCGTTGGCACAACGCGAGGGCTCAAGGTATCCAAGGCACGCCCCCGTAGAGGGGCGTTGGAGTTCTCCAGCTCTGCAATGCATTTCATTGAAGTCAATCTTGGGCAACATTTGACGCCTGGACGTCTATCATGCTGGTGGTAGAGCCGGCCGTGTCATCGTCCCTGTCCTCCATCTTCACGTCTCCGTCCATCCTTGCACCGGGCTTGTCTTCTTTGTGTGTATCTGACTTCTCGTCCTTTTCGCTTTTCTCTGGGATTTCCTCCTGTGATTGTCGCTGTTGCTGTGGCTGCTGTTGTGACTGTTGTTGCTGACTCTGCCCCGGTTGACCGGGCACGTCCGGGGCGGGCGGGAAGTTGAGGTGCTTCCAGTCCTCGAGCTCCTCGGTGACAGAGCGTAGGCGGTCGCGGATGCTCTCGATGGCGTAGCTACCTAGCAGCAGGCGGAGGGGCGGGTAGGAGCAGTGACCAAGCTGCCACACCAGCTCAGCACACTTGACGGCGCTTGTTGGCTGGCGGTCACCGAGCCACTGGACCATGCGCTTGGCGTGAAGTGCGGGCGAGGTGGCGCTCGAATACGGCTCGCTGGCCGGGCGGATAAGGAAGTGACCCCAGGTTGGCAGCGGGTTGGCCTGCGAGTCGGGCTCATCACGGCGGACGAGGCCCGGTTCGACCAGGGTGGCCTTCACGTTGAAGGAGTCGATCTCGTACAGCATAGCTTCGACGAGACCCTCGACGGCATATTTGGTGGCACAGTAGGGCCCCAGGCCGGGAACCCCAAGGGCGCCTGATGTGGAGCTGAAGATGAGGTAGCGGCCGGCGCCCTGCTGGCGGAAGTAGGGCAGACTGGTCTGGATTATGTGCAGGGTGCCCATGAAGTTGGTCTCGAACTGATTGCGTATCTCGTGCTCGTCCTGGTCCTCGCAGGCGCCGATGACGCCGAAACCGGAGCAGTTGGCGATGACGTCGATGCGGCCGAAGCGCTCAAGGGTCTTGTCGACCACGCGCCGGACCGAGTCCTTGGCACGCACATCGCAGAGTGCGCCAAAGCAGTTCTCATGCTGCTGCACCATAGACTCAGGCGTCGACTCGAAGGTCTTGCCCACCGTGGTGACCTTGTCGCCGTGGGCAAGCGCGCACTTGACCAGGGAGCGGCCCATATGCCCTGTCCCGCCAAAGACCTGCCGTGACGGGGCGCATCAGTGCCTGCAAGGCGCGAGATGGCGACGACTGGGCCGAGATCAATGGTTGGTACTCACGATCCAAACCAGCTGTTTCGTCGGGCCTTGAGGGGAGGGTGGATCGCAGCTTGCAGGCAGCTGCAGCCTGAGCGACAGTGCAGGGACATGCCCTACGCTGCCGGCCTCCGAACCCTCGAATGTGGCGCTTCGCGAATCCATTGCGGCGGTCTTTCTTTACGATTCTCTTGCGGCGACGGAGTCGGCTTTCAATCGACGCGACCGAGCATGCTGGCGACGCAGCGCGGCAGGCCTCTTGCGAGGATGGGCAATCAGCCGCCTGCAGCAGAGGCTGGAAAAGCGGCTGTTGGGTTCGGGGCGATGCAACGCAGCACCAGGGCCACAAACTGACAGGGTGCGGGCTCGACCGGGTTCTTGATGCTGCGCGCCCCAAATTCAGCCCGTCTGATCTCAGGGGCACTGGCACTGGGGATGGTCAACGCGGTCAGACGCCCCAACCTCCAGTGCCCAGCTCGCCTGGCCACACGAAACCCCAGCCGCAGCTCCCAACCGCACGGTAAGCTAAGCACGCTCACATTGGGTGTGGCATCAAAGCCATCCAAATCCCTGATCTATGTATTGTATCTTGGTAGGTACAGTGGTACATATTTGCGCCTTGAGATCTCCCCGTTTTCCGCCGCAACCCTTCCATCACCTGCAAGTCCTCCTTTAGTCACAGACGCCGTCACGCGGACGAAGAGAAAGCAGCATGCCATGCCAGACTCGGTCTGGTGACGTCAGCCTTGGTATCTTTCTCAGTGAGCTTCCCAGAATGGACAGCCGCATGAAGGCGCTGGCCAACGGCAAATCCCGTCATCTGCCGTCTGCTGAAGCCGCTGCACCTCATTGCTGGCACGAGACAGGGCGCCAGTGGCAGTAGCAGGTGCGTAGGGGTCTGATTCTGGTGGGCCGCTGGTGGGAATGTAACGCTTTCACTTTTGTGCTCGTCGATTTTGTTGAGAGCCCCAACCACACCCCGCGATCGCATTGCAAACAAGCCAGGTTTTTCACGCATTCCACCTCGCGAGGGAATGGATTAAAAAGCACGCTTAGTCTCTCGGCGCTCACCGTCTTCTACGAGCTTTACGAGCTCCCACTAAAACCCCCCGCGAGGGTCCCAAACCCACCTGCGCCTTCATCTAGCCTATCCCGCTCGCGCAGGAGCTTCAGACCTAGTCAAGATGCTCCCTTATATCAGCATACGTATGCCAGATCCGTACCGCTGGCGTTTCAGTCGCGATGCCGGGAGGAAATCAGCTGACAGGGGCTTTGTCCGCAAACCACGGCAGCGTTCATCTATCTGTCTGGCAAGATAGGCGCCGCCCCAGATGACCGCAAGTCTTTCCTCCCCTGGGAACCCATTCCCCGAGATGCAGGTGCCTAACACGAACTCTGTCGGCACGCAGTTAAACTTGTCGCGACGTTTCTCATGTCGTATCCCCTCGCGGGACTTCTCAAACGAATCCCTGACTCTAAACCTCACCACAAGAACATCTTCAGTATAGCGTGAGTAGACTCCCTTGCCTCCGCGTTTCCGAATTCCTTTCCGGGAGACTAGCCTGTGAGAGGGTACGATCGCTGAACCGCTCATAGTATCGCGCTCTTCTATCTTGTCGGCCTGTTCGATCTGTGGTCTGGACTGCGGACACTCTTTATCTCGTCTGCCGGTGCTTATGCTATTGCAAAGTATCTCAGAGGTTCCCCCTATATGCCATGGGTCGGCTTCCTCTTCTTGATGGGCCACATGTCGGCCAACCAATTGCACCGCCAGTTTGCCAACTCGCCCCAGACTACCGACATCACGGGTGCTCAGATGGTCATGGTCATGAAGTTATCGGCCTTCTGCTGGAACGTCGCCGACGGCACCCTCCCTGACGACCAGCTCTCGGACTTCCAGCGTGATCGTGTCATCCGCAAGTTGCCCTCCCTGCTCGACTACGCCGGCTATGTCCTTTTCTTCCCGTCCCTTCTCGTTGGTCCTGCTTTCGACTACGCCGAGTACAGCCGCTGGCTCGACACATCCATGTTCGATACTCCTGCTGCTGTCGACCCTGTCAAGAAGGCCCCGACTAGAAAGAAGCGCCGCATTCCGCGGTCGGCAACTCCTGCCATCATGACGATGCTCACCGGCCTCGGCTGGACCCTAGCGTTCGTGTACCTTTCGTCCTTCTACCACGCCGACGTGGTAACAGGCCCCGAGTACATGCGCTACTCGTTCCTGCGTCGCGTCTTCATCCTGCACATGTTCAACTTCACCGCCCGCTGCAAGTACTACGGCGCCTGGTCTCTGTCCGAAGGCTCCTGCATCCTAGCCGGGCTGAGCTACAACGGTGTCGACCCCGTGACGGGGAAGGTGGCCTGGGACCGCGTCCAGAACATCTACCCCTGGGGTGTGGAGTCGGCGCAGAACACGCGCGCGTACATCGAAAACTGGAACAAGAAGACCAACATGTGGCTCCGCAACTACATCTACCTCCGTGTCACCCCCATGGGTAAAAAGCCCGGTTTCCGGGCGAGCATGGCCACCTTTGCGACCAGCGCCACATGGCACGGCTTTTACCCTGGCTACTACCTGACCTTTATCCTCGCCAGCTTCATCCAGACAGTTGCGAAGAGTGAGTTCCAGACCCGATTCTTTATCATTCGAGCTTCAGACACTCACAGGCTTTCGACCCAGACTTTCGTCGCTACTGTCGGCCTTTCTTCTTGGACCCGGCGACTCAGAAGCCCCTGCCTAGCAAGCGCCTCTACGATGTGTTCTCATACTTGGTGACGCAGCTCACCTTTACCTTCGCAACCACACCATTCCTGCTCCTGGCCCTGGACACGTCGCTACTGGTGTGGGCTCGCGTTTACTTCTACGCCATCGGCGGCATCATAGCCAGCATGGCATTCTTCGCCTCGCCCGCAAAGGCACTGCTCCGCAAGAAGCTGGATGAGAGGCAGGCCAAATCGGCTGGCACTAACGGCAGCAAGGGACGGGGGGCAGCCCTCGAGCGTACTTCAAGTACAGACAGCATTAACAGGCTGCCCGTGCTAGGTATTAGCGGTGATCCGGCTCGGGAGATGGACGAGGCTATGGCCGAGATCAAGAGCGAGATCGAATCGCGCGCCCGCAAGACATCTGCGGCTGCCCACAAGAGCTGAGCTACAATGATCCCTACAGCTACATAATTTGTTCAAGCAAAGTCGCGAGGTGCCCACCAGCGAGACGCGAATGCGCCAGAGCGTCTGCGCGCACAAGAATCCGGTTTGCCCCGTACGAACACGACACCAATAACGCCATCGTCTTGAAATTCTCGATTTCTTGATGGGTTCATCGAACGGACTATGCACTGGGCGTTTTAGGCTCTCGTGATCCATGGCGAGAATGGAGTGATGCCGCCACTACGCACAGCGGTCGGGTATGCATGCGATGGCGTGTGGGGCAAGCGCTGAGAAAGACGCGGCGTAAGCCTTTGTGTCTTTCCGTATCCAGGTTTCGCCATCTAACAGGTACGTTGGTGCTGTCACGACGACACTTGATGGCGGATTCCTACCTTTGGATGATCTTCATTTCATATGGGGAGTGGCCTTAGACGAGCCACAGCAATTCAATCAGGCATTTGCCTATTGGAACTTCCCTTCCCCCCGTCTTTTGTACGGATACCCCAAATGTATGTATCGATGCGGACCGGCCATCGTCCACTGCCATCCACTCAGGCGGCGGTCAGAAGGGTAGGTGGCTGATACCAAGGGAGACTTCCCATGGGCCGGGGTTACGAAAGCCCGGTGGCATGACATAGCAATGTCATGCTTGGGAAACCCAGAGGATAGAGGAGGTGGGCGTCGTGTCAGCCAGTTGGGACGCAAATGTCATGCTCGGTTTTACATCGAATCGCTTGAGTGGCAGACAACGGCCGTGTGCAAGGTTGTGTCAAGCTCGGTAGACAATTCTTTAGATATTATTGTCGAGCAGGGGCCTTTTCCAGTCCCTGTTGACTCGCAAGGCGGGTGCTGCTCTGGGTATCTAGGTAGGTAAGGATCCAAGATGGATGTGCAAGGACACATTATGGAAAGAAATTAGTCCTTCGCACGCGACGCCATGGATATCGACGCGGCGGGCTTCAAGTTATGCGTCAGAAATGCCCAGAAGGAAATCAGGAAGGAGAGGATGATGTGTTGGCAAATTGGCATGGGTGGAGGATGTCCAAGAGGAATATAGTTGGGCCAAACACCTTATACAGAGATATGGAAGGATGTAGAAAACTCGGTTCTGGGAACAATCAAAACCGCTCTCGGATCGACGCCTTGGTATTTTCCGTCGACTGAATACGAAAAAGATAAACCAAAATAAAAAACGTGACGGTGAAAAGATGCAAGGGGATCCAAAGAGGGAGGGGGTTCTTGGCGACGGATTGTCCAGACAGCCAAGTTGAGACGGCGGGACGGTTTGTCGATCAAACCCTACCAGTCTCGCCAAACCCGAACTTTCCGGGACCAACTCCAAAACGAGGCCAGGCCGGTGGGGGGTATCGCTAGGAAAAGCTCAAACTCCGCTACGCAGTGTTAGATCGTACATGGGGAGTAAAAATAAGAACAAGAGAGAGAAAAAGGAAAATCCCCGTTGTGTTTCCCCAATTCTCAAGGGCCCGATACCCCGGAGTTGCTCTATCCGCAAACTCGTGCGCCGTAATAGACAATAATAATAATAACCGAGCTAAGTCTGTGCTCGGGCGAATGTAGTCCGAACTTCCCTTTTTCGATGTGGGATGCTGGAGGGTGATGGCGTGGTGATGATACACGGTCTGGTCGGGATTGCGAAATCGCCGACTAGCCGGATGAAGCAGAAACCGATGCAGTAGTGTGTGCGTGACCGGAAAGAATGTGTACAGGTCGGATAGGCTATGTCGGTATGTGGCTTAAATGTATAGGTGAAAAGGTGGGCAGGCAGAAGAAGATGCTTTTGTGGTGCCGTCGTGGCCGTGATGCCTGAAAATGTCTAGTCGTTATATGCCGGTCAGTGTATATGATGAATGTCTCGACTTGTCGCAGGAAGATGCCCGAGTCGCGGCGTGGGTCGCATGCGTATGGGTCGCGTATAGCGTCATTAAAGATGTGACAGGATGCTGAACCGATTCAGAAGGGTGCGTTTCGTATGAGGTAGCGACTGTAGTGGGTTGGATATCGTATCGTCCATGTGGTGCGCGGACCGATGCACGGCTCGAGGGGTCCTCTAGACTCGCTGGTACCACCCTTGCTGGATGCCCACGACAACCAGGCCAACGACGACGCCGATGATGACCAGGCCAACAAGGGACATGCCCCTGTTGAGGTTGCGCCACCACTTGGCGCTCTGGTAGCGTACGTCGTCGGCCTCGTTGAACTGGCGCCGGAGGGATTCGGAAATGCCAAGCTCGCTCTGGCTGTGGTCCCTCTCCAGCATCTGGAGGCGCGGCTGCTCCGGGAGTGGGAGGACGGCGGCGATCATCCAAGCGAAAGGGAATATGAAGCCCAGCACGAACATGACGACCTGGATGTTCCTCCGTCCCCACACTCCGCTCTCGGCACTCCAGCTCACGCTGGGCGGGTCCCATCGGCCGTAACGGCTGGAGATTGCTCGCCTGTCCATGCCCAGGTGTGGCGACCAGAGACTGCTAGTCTTCTTCCGCAGGTTGGGTCGGATGGCGTTGTAGTCCATGTCAGTTGGGGACGCCGGGGCGATGTCCAAGCTGGCCTGGTCCGAGAAGGGACGCTGCGAAGGGCCGGCCTCGACCTCCCTGACGCGCCTGCGTGGGCTGAAGAGCGACGACGGGAAGTAGTCGGCGGCGGGGCTGCCGGGGTCGCGCTGCAGCGCGGATCCAGGCCTGCTGATTGGGCCCTCAGACACATCCGAGATTATGGAGGGTGCACTGAGTTGACGCCGCTCGCCAGAGCCGTAGTAGACGCGAGCCCATGTGGGAAGGGCAGACGGGTTGAAGCTGCGGGAGCTCGAAGACGAGTGCAGGTTGCGAGACGAATCGCTAAGGCTGCTCATGAAACCCGACAGACCCGAGCGGGAGGGTCGGGGCGACAGGTCGCGCAGGTCGGCGATGCCATCACCGTCCTCATCATGGTCGCGAATGGTGCGCGAGCCGCCGTTGTAGCCGTTGCGCGCGTAGGCAGCCGCGGGCCGCTCGAGCGAGACTGAGTCGCTGCGGGACATGGACATGGACCGGCTCTGTGTGCGGCCATCCTCGAGCTGGGCAGCCAGCGACGACGAGATGCTCAGCATCTGTCGGCTGTGTGTGCTGCTCGCCCAGCCGGTGCTTTGGCGTCGGCCGCTGCCGCTGCCGCTGCCGCTGCCAGTGCCGGCGCCGCTGAGGTTGCTGATGCTACCTGTCATCCTGGACGCGGTTCTCGAGATGGGCGAGATGGCCCGTTCGCTGCTCGAGGGCTCCGTCTCGGACATGACGGTGGACAGCTGAGAGCTCCATTGGTGCGGGTGTGCCTCGACCATTGGGAACTGCTGGGGCTGGGGCTGTGGCTGGGGTTGCGGCTGTGGCTGGGGTTGAGAGCCGGAGGGGAGAGCCGTAGGGCGCGCCGCGCTCGCCCATGAATCTAGCTGCTGCCGCCGCGAAGCGAAGGAAGACGAAGACGGTCCTGCACCGCCAGGTGATTGCTGCTGCCGCAGGCCGGGGACCAAGGCCGAATTGACCAGGATCGACTGTACCGACTCGCCCGCAATGATCGAGGTGATGGACTTGAGCGACTTGGCCGAGTTTGCCCTGGCGCGCAGGCTCTCGCGAGACCTGGACTTGTAGTATCCGAGACGCTCGCTGGATCCCCTGCGAATGGGCTGGAGCGGAGGAACAATCAGGCTCTCCTGCGAGAACTCGGGCCGTGGCTGGCGACGGGCAACGAGCGAGACCGAGGGCGAAGGGGACGGGTCGCCGTGAAGGATGTAGTTGTCGTCGCTGGCGTGGCTACTCGGCGGCGGGCTCGGGTCGTGGAGCTCGGATGGGGGCGCGACGGGTGAGGACTCTCCAAGGAGGACGTAGTTGGAGTGGCTCGACGACGGCAGCGGGAGGCTCTCGTCGGATTGCGGCGGAGGCGAACTGCGGGCGTAGACCTTGTAGTTGCTGGTCTCGGAGGTGGTGTCGACGGTCCGGTCCGACGTGAATGAGTCCTTGGAGACGAGCGGGCGCGTGGGAGTGTCGTCGAGGGCGCGGGATGAGGGAGCGGCGTGGTGGAGGGTTGGCGACGGTGTAGATGCAGCCTCGATAAGTGGCGACAGGGTTTGCTCTCTGGCAGAGGATTGAAGCTGTGCAGCAACTTGCTTTTGCCTGAAATCAGGGGTGTTGGGCACTTTCCGCAGGCCACCAACCATACGATAGTTCCAGGGGGAGGACGAGTGGGCAGGCGTCTTAGGATCCTCAGTTAAGTGGGCGCGGGTGGAGGGCTCGCCAGGGGAGGGTGGGAACGGGAAATGGGCCGCGTCAGGGATGGTACCCGCAGAGGTCAAGGGCGAGAGCACGCTTGGCTCGTCGCGTTCGTCATCGGCGAGGAAGGCGTCTGACAGCCCCTCACGCGAGTCGACTGTTCTCACCGTCGACAGCGACAGTGGTGGAGACGTGATGCCGCCGCCGTAGGTGCTGCTGCTGCCGCCGGCCTGGCTGCTGGCCCAGGTGCTGCGCGTGGTGCCGCTGCCGCTCGCGCTGGCGCTGGTGGCGCTCCAGCTACCCCTGGCTGACGAGGTGCTGCTGCCGGGCGGGAGCTTGCCGGTGCTGTTGAGCACAATGGAAAAGGTCCTATTGTCAGAGTGCATTGAGAGCATATTGCGGCGCCGCGATCGAGGCCGCGACACCGAGGACCCAGGGCCAGCAGCGGCTGCAGGCGCAGCCGCAGCCCCAGCTGGACCCGACGGGAGTCGCGAGGACGGGGGTTTGGGCGCTAGCGTCAGCGTCGGCCTCGTCGCGAGTGGCCGCCGGGTTTGCTCAGATTGCGATTGAGATGGCGCATTGAATGTGCTGCTGGGATTGGAGGCCAGGGTGCGTGGCCAATCAGCGGCTGCGGGTGGGGTCCTAGGGGAAGCCGCCCTCGAGGCCCCTTCGCTCTGTGGTGCGGCTGGTTTCGTGCCTGAAACTGCGCCGTCCTTGGCCGCGGCAACCGAGGACGAAGGCGCGCGCCCTTGGCTGGCCGCCGCATAGACTCGCGAATCGGCGAAATCTCCCTCGCTGGGACCTGCGCTTGGTCGTCCAACCCCGCCACTGCCACTGCCAGCGCCACTGTCATCGCTGCCACTGCTGCCTCGCCTGTCGCTGACCACGTCCCAGTTGCCCGAGCCACGCTGCGCCGCCACCTGTGGCTGGTACTGCTGCGACGCTGCCCGGCTCGGCTGCTGTGATCCCGACAGTGGACGCGACGAGCCAGTTGCCGATGATGATTGGCTGGCCGTGCGCTCGTCGCGACTGAGCCGAGGTGGCGAGTATGGCACAATCCGGATTCCATGGCTGCTGGTCTGCGACAGCGGTCGTTCCTTTGGCGGCGGCGGTGGCGGGCTGTTGGGATATCCATCGTCCGGGGATGACATTTCCCTTCACCCAGACACCCGCACGGTTCGACTCGCAGTGGGCCGGGACGTGCGGGCGTCGTTGTCGATGTTATCGGCTTCGACTTCGACAAGGCGTAATAATTTCTTCGCTGGTTTTTCGCTGAGCACCCCTGCTCACTACCGAGCGTCATGCGAAAGCTGATTTGCTGGCGCCAACAATTCTTTGCGCTCTTTCTTTCTTTCCCCTGCTCCTGGTCCGTGTTTAGGCTCTGCTTAGAAATAAGCAGCCTCTCAATTCCGAATGTCGTCAAGTCCTTGGTCCTATCCTCAGGGGTGGTCGTGGGTTTGTCCTAATCCAGCAAACAGCGGGTCCGGTCGTCGTCGTCGTTCTGTCGTGGGGTCATACAACCGAACATAAGGTGAAGAATCAATAATAACTGAGCCGTGGGGATCGATATTGCGAGCGTGAATTCGTAATTTCGATCGTAAAGACTCGTTCGTGCGTCAAAAAATGAGAAATCATGCAATGAAGCTCCGGCTCGTCGTTCGGTTCGTCTTCGGTCGTCCTCGGTGTGCCGGCAAGGTTAAAATCTTTGCAGTTCGTCCCAAGAATCCAGCAGGGTAATCGTTCGGTCGTGACAGAAAGGACAAGGAAAGAGCAAAGACGAAGAAGAAGAGGAAGAGGAAAAAGAAGAGGAAACAAGAACCAATCAAATGACCGGATGAAAAGAATCGTCAAGAAGCGAAGACGCCCGGTTCGGTGTTGCAAAGGAGCGTCGTGGGCGAGGTTGAGGAAGCAAGCGAGGAAAATGGAGCCTCGCGCCGGGTAGGCAGGCTTCGGCCTAGATATTAGGCGTGGTGGGAAAAAAAGCAACACCGGCGGAGGTCGAGGCCCGAGGTATTAAGGCGAAGGGGCGGGTATATCGTAACGGCGCGCCGGCAAGGAAATGGTCCCGAGCATGAGGCGAGTGAGCGGGATATCGATTTCTTGACACGGCCTCCGCATCGCACACAACTGGCACCATCGATGTAAGGAACGAGACGATGGAGGGGAGGGGCGGGATCCGGAGCTGCGGGTGACGAGGATGGTTATACATATGACTATGGCGGAACCGTCCTATCGGCGAGGGCAAGGACACCAGCCGGGCTAGCCTGTATGCGCGCCTGGTGGTAGTGGCATGGCTGGCGCAATGTGGATGGGTGGCCAGGGGTAGGTCGCAGCGGGAGGGTTGGATACGGCACAACGACATGTGCACCCAACTGTGGTGTGGGTAACATCAAGGTGGGCAGGAACAAAAAAAAACCACCGGATGGCGAGGGAGGGGACGAAACCCTGCAGCTGTGGACTCGATTGGCCGAGAGCACAGGCGGCTGTTTGGCCATGCAATCGTCAGGAGGATCTTCTTGGAAAACAGCCCGGGGCGGCTTGCAAGTACCGCGCACCGAACAAGAACAAAAAAAAAATAGCGCTTGACCGCCTACTGGGCTGGGCTGGGGGTGGCTTCTGGTACCCTAACGGCCTGCCTGCCTGGTCCGGGCTGGCCTGGTCGAGGTGGCAAGGCGAGGCTGGCCTCTGATTTGGCCGCCCACCCACCACCACGCTGCATACGCGCACCCTCGTGCCGTACTGGGGAGGGACGTGGTGATCCATCCGCCTAGCCATCCGCCATCGAACTATTCTTCTGTGCGCCAGTTCGCCTGGCCACTGGTCAGAGCCGTAGACAGCTCAGGCGCCCCGTGTGTTGGGCTGTCGCTCCTGTGTATTTTTCCGGCCCGCGCACGACGAACAGCCAGGCTCCAAACAGCTTGATGTATTCATGGTGTCGCGCAAAGGAACATCCTAGTGCAGCGGCTAGAACGAGCACAGGCTCGACGTGCACCCGGGCCCGCGGGCCTTGTTGTGTAAACAGCAAGCAGTAAACAAACACTTCGCTTGTTTTTGCCCGCTCAGGCATTCGTGGAGAGTGCGAGAGACACGCAAGCGCACACGGGGGCCATTCCTCGGTGGCTAGGCGGGGGAGATTGGGGAAAAGGCGGTGGCCGGCGGGTGGAGTGCGGCCAACATGGATCGCCGTCAGTCGACTGCAGATATCGTCATGGGTCTGGTGGGTTTTCGGCCCAACAAGGCCACGCAAAAAGGGCGAAAAGGACGAAAGCAGAAGGCTCTTGCGCCCTCGGCTGCGCTGGAATCGCTGCAGCAAGGTTCTGTCAATGGGGACAGCGGACGTGCGCCTGCAGCGCGTGTAATTACAGCGTACCAAACTGGAAAGACTGCCCCATCTGGCGCGCGCTATCAGCTGCAGCCTCCTGCAGGTTGTGCAGGAGCAAATTTGTGGCAGCGCGCGGTTTTCTGTCATCGAAAGGGAGCCCACAGTCTGTGAATTTCGCGCTTATGTACAACCTCCTCCCACCCAAAACCTGGCAGCATGCGCACACCTGCAGGACCGCGGAGCACCCGGATCCCCACGAACGAATGACAGCTAACGGAATCGCAGACTGTGCACCATAGATGAAGTGCAGAAGCGCACAGCAGGCAGTATGCAGTTGCAGACCCTCTTGGGGCCGCTCGAAGCATTCGTCCTGGCTTGCTTGCCACGCTCGCACAGGCAGGCCTCTCCCACCCACGCTGCATGAACTGCGTGTCGACAGCCGCCTGGATGGCCCCCGGAAATCGACGGCCGGGATGCCGCCCGCCGTGAAAGGTGGACACTGGAGGTGGCTGGCATCGTGTGGTCGGAGGGGGATAGGCGACTGTGGAGGGCCAGGGGAGAGAAAAAAAAAAGGAAATCTGGAAACTTCCTAACCTCCCCGTTCAACTGGAAAGCTAACTAAACTCAGCGCCGCCCCTGAGAGCGTCTTGCACTGTCCAGAATCGCATCCCCCTGGTCGGCCTCCACCCCCTCCTTCCTACCCTTGGTCGCCATCAAAGGGGCCCCTCGGAGATGGGTCTCGGAGGTTTTTTGGTAGGTCGTTCCTCGGCACCAACCTCCACAAAAAAATGATCCTCACAGGTTTTTTCCCCAATACCTCCTCTACTACAGCAGAGGAGGCTTGGAAGGAATAACCCCAAGAAGCGATAAACGGGTACGTCGACGAAATCCCTCGAATCCTTTCAAAAATAATAGAGGGCGAAGGGAAAATGACTGCCCATTGGATTCCCTATTAAAAAAAATAGGCTTGGGCAATTTTTTGTTATTTTTTTATTGCTTTGCAAATTGAAGCATTTTTTTGTGAGAATCATTTTTTTTTTTGTGGAGGTTGATGCTCGGCCCCCAAACTTTTGCGTGTGGCCGAAAATGGGAGCCTTTATCCCGACTGGTCAAGACTTTTGTGCGAATCGGGTTGTAAGAGGAAAACGCAATCTGGACAACACGCACTCGCGATTTTTCGCGTCAATGCGGATCCCTGCCCACGCTAATTTCACAGCACAAAATGAGGCGGGATGAGGTTGCATCTACTCTCCCACGGGATTCGCTGGAAACACAAAGCCAGCAAAGCCCCCAAGAAATCAAGGCTGACATGCCACCGACGAACGGGATGAGGCAGAGCAAATACTCATGATTACACGAGATGGCAAAACCCGCGCTCTGGGTTGCAGTCGTATTGGGCGGTGCCACGAATTCCATCTTCTCCTGTTCGTGCCAAGGGTTCTCATAGGAGCATTCTCCCTGTGGTTTGACAGCGGCTCCCAGGTTGCATCTTGACGGTTGGCGGCGCGTGGACCATAATATATGCATGCAGCCATGGATGCCCTTTGCCGCTTAACCGGCCGATGCTTGTACTTTGCATAACCTCCCGCCTTATTTCTACTGATATGCATCGGCTCCGACGTTTCGATGCGTCGTGCACGGCCCTTGAGCCAGAGGGAGCCTCGAATCCAGCGCCGTGGAAAAGAGTGGTGATAGAACGCACGGGCTTTTGAACGTCACGATCTCAACATGACGACGGTGTGTATGTGTGGGCGTGTGTAGAGTACCTGTTTTCAACCTCGAGTCGTTCACTTTGAGGACAGCCAGTGCCACTGCATGGAACATTTAGTGTTCTAATCCATCTACAAGCGCTGCCCACATGCGGTCGATCCACGCACACGTACCACGCCAGCGTCGAACAAAGAGGCCTAAAAACGGCAGTTTTAAAGCTTCCCTGATAAGGTGGGCGCTTTCACGGGAAGCTCCAGCTGCTGCGCCGGCGGGACCTCCGCGAAACTTGGCGCCAAAACCGAGGTGGGCCGCCGCCGCCCCACCGCAACAAGGAGCGAGCGATGCAAAGCCACGGGCAGCTCCATCGACGGGGATCCTCAAACCGTCACCCCAACCCGTCAGCCCGTCATCCATCCGGCCCAGCCCTCTCTAGCGCTAGGACCACCATTTCGAGCCTTGCCGTCCAATCAACCACGCCGAACCGCCCAAAAGGCATCGCCAACAGATCTCGTGTAGAGTTGCTCCTATCATAATCGTCGACTAGGTTCTGCCAGATTTCCTGTGCGACTACGCTGGGATCGCGCCATTGCATCCCGCGTCAATCGTCGTCGCAAAAGCGCCAAAGATGCCGTCCATCAGAGGCATCGTCGATAGGATCGGCAAGTATGTCCACTACGGCGCCAAGCGTAAGTCTTATCTCTGTCTCCTTTTTCTTCTCTCTATTTTGTTATCGTCGTGTCTGGCCTGTGTTCGACAGCCCTGCCGTCTGTCCCACCCCTTGATGCAACATCCGGAATATTGAACAAGCTTGCTGAAACCCGAACAGCAGAGGCTCCACCCCCGATCACCACCAGAACCGCCGTCTTGCTTCTTGTAAGTCTCGAGGCTGTGCCGAAACTCACACATGGCTCCTTGCGCCCCCTTTTCCGGCCGCTGGGGATATCAGAGGGAAAACCTGCTTGGCCATATTGTCGCCGCCGTAGCCGCAGCAGCATCTCATGGCACCTCCCATGCTGACCTGCCACTGTGCCTAGGTCGCATATACCGTAATCTATGTAGCCCCGTTTTACCTCTCGTCCCGGACGAGGCCGTCGGCCCAGCTGTCCAGGGACGCCCCGTCCGTTATCAAGGCTAGGGTCGCATCGGTCACGCTGTCTTGCATCGCCTGCTCGGCCGTGACATTCTACATGGTCACAAAGGACGGCCACGTCTCGTCCGAGGGCGCCCTCCATCTGCTCGGCTACTGGCCCATCGGCCTGGCCGAGTCTGCCAGGTCCCTGTTCTTGACTGCCCTCCTCTTCCTCGGCCCTCTGTTTGAGAACATCGTCGTTGAGGCTGGTTGGAAGGACTGGATGGCGCTCAGGCCCCTCTACGACCTGTTCGGCGAGTGGACGACATGGCGGAACATTGTCGCTGTAAGCAAGCAAGACAAGCCTGTTTTCCTTGGCGGCGTTCCCATCTACTTCTAACCGGCTTCTTGCTGACCCAACCCGCAACCCAGGGCCCATTCACCGAGGAGGTTCTCTTTCGGTCTGCCGGGGTGCCTCTGATGCTTCTAGCACGGACGTCGGTCTCCAAGACCATCTTTCTGTCGCCCGTGGTCTTCGGGCTGGCGCATCTGCACCACTTTTACGAGTTCCGCCTCACGCACCCTCGGGTGCCGTGTGTGCAGGCCGCACTGCGCTCCGTGTTCCAGTTCGCCTTCACGACCCTGTTCGGCGCCTATGCCACCTTCCTCTACCTCAGGGGTGGCAGCCTGCTAGCCGTGACACTCGTGCACGCCTTTTGCAACTCCCTCGGCCTCCCACGGTTCTGGGGCCGCGTCAGGGTCGTCACCGCCGACGACCCCGACGGCGAGAGGTCCGCGTCGCCGCTGTGGACCGTGGCATACTACGTGCTCCTGCTCGCCGGCGCCACACTGTTCTACCGGAACTTTTGGACCCTCACCCAAAGCCAGATGGAGCTGATCTCGCTGAAATGAGCCTAAAGCTCGGGGATATCGACAGTCCTAGATAAACAAGGTGCCGAGAACAAGAGTAAACAAATGTAGATTGCTCGCTTGCTGCGATGCCTTCTTCGCTGGGTATGGGTCTCAATTTGTTTGCTGGCGCTGTCTTTACTGGCGTCTTTCAGCTTCTATAGTTTTCTTCCCCTGCTTTGGTTGTCGGGACAGGGTTTGTGTAGGTAGATTTGATAGGTTACTGTGAACCGCAGAAGCATGGCATCGAATTCACTTGCTGCCTGTGTTTTCCCCACACCTGTCAGTTTTCACTCAATTGTGTCGGAAGCAAGGATTCTCGAGTTGCTTGTGGTCCCCCCACGCGCCAACATGCACATGAGCGCGTCCCAACTGTGTACAAGGCACCAAGCCTATCACTGTGCTTCTCTGGATCGAAGCCACGTCTCTTTGGTGCTTGCATTCCGTAACAATAAGTTTAACGAGCCGCCCACCAACGCACCCTCCGCAATACGCTTTTAATCATCACCGACTTAGCTCGTCCATCGTCCAAAATACAGCCAAAACGCGATGGGAAACCCGGAGACTCCAGACGGCTGCGGTGAATACCCCTTTTCGCCAGTAGCCGGCTGGGCTGGTCCGGACGATCCAAGCGATGCCGAGTTCTATCAAGCGGCGAAGCAAGGCAACCTGGAAAAGCTTAGGGCTGCATGATCCCAGATCTCGACCTCAATCTCCTGTACGGCTGTGTCGATGCGAATATCGGCGAAACGGCCTTGCACGCTGCCGTCCGGGAAAACCACGTCCATATCGTCAAATTCCTTATCGAATCTGGCGCTAATATTGAGATGGAGCGTCGAGACCACATCCGGGATTTAAGGCCGCTCCACGAAGCAGCCAAGCAAGCCAACCCGGACATGGTCCGGATACTTCTCGACGCCGGAGCCGACATTCAGGCCAAATTCGACAATGGCCATGGCGACGACGGCCTCGCAACGTCCCTGGTTTTAAGGCACATGGAGCATCAACGAAACTACTGGCCCCAAGTAGGGCAGATCGAGCAGAAACACCTCGATACGATCGAACTGCTCCTCAGCCGCGGCATCGACATCAATGCCCGTGCGGCTCTCTAACCATGACCCTTCTCGAATCGGCGATCGCAGCGGACTCGGTCGACCTCGCCAGGGCGCTGATCGCCCGCGGCGCAGCTCTGAAGGTGCACCGCTACGAAAAAAAGTAATAGGTTGATTCAGGTCGCTACCGAACACAACGCGACAACTCGCACACTGTTATGGGAGAGCTTGGTATCAAAGACCCTGGTGTGGAGGGGTTGTTTAATCTCGCATATTACGGCCCGCGCGGGGCGGTTGTGGACATGGCGCGTATGCTGTTTGACGCCGCCATGACCGACCCTAACCGCGACCCCAACTTCCCCAACACGGAATGGGTGCAGGAGCAACTTCGCGAAGCTGCCTGCCACAACAACCTCCCTCTTGTGCAGTTTCTGCTCGACAGGGGGGTGGACGTTAACGGGTTGGACCGTTACGGGGAGAGCCCGTTGCTTGCAGCCTGCCTGAGGTTCGGGATGTGGCGCTCCTCAAGCTACTGCTGGAACGAGGTGCGGATAAGAACCATCGTTTCCCTAAACAGCGCCACTATGCGAGCGGGAGCAATGCTTGTAAGTGGCACTTCTGATAGCAAATCTCGCACTTTTGTCCTGCTGCTTTTCCTCCCCGGGGAGAGCCGTCTGTACTGACTTTTGGCCCACGCCTCCTACCTTCTCAGTGCACCAGACCGCAGAACGAACCTCGAGCAGGGCCAAGCTAGACGATGTGGTCAGATTCCTTCTGCAGTCCGGCGTGGACGTTGAGGCTCGAAACACCAATCGCGAGACCCCGCTGCTCACCCACGCCCGTAAACCAGCGGGAGAATGGGGCGATACCCCCTACAACATCCTTCGTTTGGAGTGCTTCAGGCTCCTCGTGGAAAGCTGCCGGGATATCGATGCGGTTGACAGCAAATGCATGTCGGCGATGCATCTGATCGCCTGCAACGCGAAAGACGCGCCGACGGCGAAAAAGGCTGTGGACCTCCTGATCCAAAATGGGGCCAACCCTAACATTCGCGATCATGAGGGTGTAACCGGTGCGGCTCGCCTCCAAGCCAAGCTTGGGATTGAGCTTGACCTTGCTGCCATCCTGGGCTGGGTTGTTCTTTAGGACTAGCAGGATAACTCGTCCCGATAGCTAGTGGAACATGATGAATTTCGAAGGTGGCTCCTTAGATTTTTATAAAGCTGATGTTTACACTCTCAACCCGCTATCTTTATATCTTTATATACTTTTCCAACCCAAAGTTGCACTTAGTACGTCTTTCAAACGAATGCTATGCCTAAACCAGTGCTTTATTTTCCTAAACGAATGCCGTACCCAAAAAATGTCACTTACCAAACAAGTGCCACCTCGACTACAAACAAATGATATGCTGTCCCAAGCAAATGCTGTCACGTTCCAAATCGCAAAGCCCTATCAACCACAGCATCCATACAAGCTCCTCCCTCCCCCAAGAAAAAAAAGGTCAGTGTTTTTTTTTTTTGGAATATCTCGCGACGCCTTGTCCGAAGCCCGGCAGAGAACGGCGAGGGCCGAAACGCTAAACCTACTTAAGCCGCAGCCTTGGCGGCTTGGGTTGCCTTCCCAGCCCCCGATGCGGAAAGGGACTTTGTCGTCTTTTTCCCGGGACCAGCGCCCTTTCTCTTGGCCTCGGTGCTCGGCGCCTGGCCGGCGGGTCCCTTGTTGCCCTTCCCTGCCGCTAGAGTTTTGTTATCCTTTGCCGCTGCCAGAGCTTGGGGCTTGCCCTTGGCCTTGGTCTTGCCGCCGCCACCACCAGATGGAGCAGGGTTGCCACTAGTGTTTTTGGATCTGTTTTGACTTTTGCCTTTGCCTTTGCCGTTTAGGAGCCGCTGAAAACCCGGGGGAGGGGGAGGGAGAGGCGGCGTTGGCCGGCGGCACGCTTTGGCCTGGCCGTTGTTGTCCTTCCCGGGTTGGTGGGCTCGGGGGTCCTGGGTTTTGCCGGTTCTAAGCTTGTTGTTGGACTTGGACTTGGCGGCTTCGGGCTTGTTGTTAGACTTGCCAGCTCCGGGCTTGTTGTTAGTCTTGGACTTGGCAGCCTCGTTGGACTTGGACTTGGCGGCTTCGGGCTTGGCGCGGGCGCCGGGCTTGTTGTTAGACCTACCAGCCCCGGGCCCGCTGTTCCGGTCATCGGAGCGCTTCTTCCGTCCGATACCTAGATTTCCGTAATGCTCTGTTAGTCTGTTGATTTGAGCTTGGACATCACCCTGATCGCCCTGTGTTTGTCGGCCACCGGTTTGGTCGTATGGGTTATAGCCCGATTGGTCTTGTCCCTGTTGGTTGTCGTGTGGGTAAAGCTGGTAGTTCCCCTGTTGGTTGTAGTCGCGCTCTTGTCCAGTCCCAGACGACTCTCCTGCTGAAAGGGATGCCAAAATGGCTCCCTTGGGCCAGCCCAGCTCGTGACACTGCCTCGCCCATTCCTTCAACTCGGCAGACCAGGTCGTCATTTCCTCGATCTAGCCCGCGTTCCCCTCGCTACACTCCATCCCTGAGTCCGTTGTGCGCCCCTGCTGGGCCGCGATTTGTGCCGCGATTTGTGCCGCATGCTCCTGGTTGCTCGGCGGGGGCGGCTCGCTATCATCCCATCCGGCGTATGGATCGTAAAACGATGGATCTCCGCCGCCGCCGCCACCACCGCCGCTGCCGTCGCTACCACCGCTGCCGCCGCTACCACCGTTGTCTTTGTCACTATGATGATCGAGGCCTGGATCATAGATTTGGTGTCGAACATTCCATTGCTGTTCGACAATGAGGCCGTGGGTGTCGGTGGTGGAAGGCCGGCCTTTTATTAGCCTAAATGCGTTTTTGGGCTCGGGTAAGCTCCCTGCTGTAGTGCTCATTGATGTTTTCGCAGCCGAACTCCTTGGGGCCCCTGCTGGCGTAGAATTTGATGGCCTCGTTTTCGTTGCCATTCCAGGCCACCATTCTGGTGTTCTCTCCGGGCTGGTAGTATGTTGTTGCGCCTTGGGACTTTTGCATGTCGGCGTCCAAGCATAAGAGGTTGACCTCCCCGCAAAGCCCTTGGAAATGGTAGGTGTTTTTTTTAGGTAGTCTCCTTCCAAATCCCACAAGCATTTGGTGATCGAGTCGGGCATACCTCCTTGGAGAGCTCTGTACGCTTGTATGCTCGCGCCGCTTCTTTCTCTGGGGAACTTGACGGACGAGGCTGCATATATGACGTTGTCGCCCATGTCCATAATGGCCATGACTTGCGGAATTTCGAGTCCGCGGGCCTCGGCACCATCTTCGGTCCATCTATCGTGAACCTTCCGCATCTCCATGTAAGCCGATCGTGCGATGCGCATGAGAAAGTCGCCGCTGACTTGGGCGGGAGTAAGGACTTTGAAAATGGCCGAGTAGCTGACGAAGCCGATATCGCCGAAGGGTTTAAAGACCTAGTTGAGTTGGACGCCAAAAAACTGCCCCCGGGGATCCTCTCCAATGCCAGAGGCCAGGCCGCTTGGATCTTCGATTTGAGGCAACGGGGCTCCCAAAGAGAGAGTGCTCGAAAGCAGCCCGATGACGGCCAGGATGGCTATTCGTGTGCCCTTGAGTAGCATCATGGCGAAGGAACAAGACCTCAGCTATGGCAAGTAGACGGGTGAGGGATAGAATTTTCGAGTAAAGACTGTGCAGTAAGATAGGGGGAAGGAGAAAAAGAAGCTCTCAGGGGACGTGAGGTATAAGCAAGGGACGAAAGTGAGGATATCGAAGGAAGTATGGATGTGAAAGATGATGAGGCTTGCTATGTTCAGCTGGTGATGGTATTGTAAGTCCTCGTCCACAGCATCGAAGCCCCGAGCCTCCCTTTTTATAAGCAAACACAACATGACTTTGGCCGTATGCTGGAGTGAGCTTGATGGTGATGTCCATCGACGACACCATTAGGAACCACACCGTTGGTAGCCGCCTCATCAGTCGGCGCATCATCCAAGTTCACAATATCGGTGGCATTGTACTCTGCGTAGTAATCAGTTAAGGAACCCGATGCTACGGGCCGGTGGATACTGGTACCAACCGGCGGCCGGGGGTGGCTATAATAGCACCAACGTGCTTTGTTAGTCTCGCTGGGAATGTACACAGCAAAAGTCAAAGTGGCAGTCGGCACAGCCTCGCTCTATTTTTTTTCGTTGAGGCTGGGACATCATGGGCGCAACTTCTGTGCCCCCTGTCCGCCTCTCTACCGAAAGCTCATAGGTTCAGGTGAAAACGTAGAGAAAATGAGCAGGGGGCAGCCCAAACAAATGTGCCAACGCCCAACACTACACCTGCTCTTCAGGCACTAACACTATGACCCAATTATATCGTGATGTGGTGCCGTCGTTTTGGGGCTTTATCAATAGCGGCCAGATCCTTCGGGTAGACCTAATCAGCGCAATCCTTTTGAAGCATCGTTTATGCCTTGTTGGGTATTGCGTTGGAACCGGTTTGGCTAGTTGGGAAGTCAGAAGGTTGCGTACCTCTGGTGTCTTCCGTCCCTTTTGAAAACCACACGGCCGGCACGGGGTCGAGAAGCCAAGTGTGCCCGGGGTACAGCCCAAAATAGAACCGAATATTGGCCAGACAGCCAGCGAGACCAAAAGGCACGGTTGAGACCCGACCCGGCGGTACGGCAAGGTGTTCGGCAAGCGCCCTAGACAGTCAGCCGTGTAAGAGTAAGGTGGGGAAGATACGTCGGGCCGGATGCCTATTTCCTGCTGGTTGATGGAGTTGAAAGACTCTGGGGCGATGGAGCGGCGCATTGGAGATACTGTGCCACGGCATGGAAGGCTGTAAATTGCTGGGGAGGTTATATGGCTTGGTGTTGCTTCCCTAATCATTGATACAAATCACAGAGAAATGCCCCACACGATGGAATTTTTCCATGGCATCCATCCGTTACCTCGATTTTTTCTTCATTTGCTCATTCCCGAATCTTTTTTCAGCGTTGCTGCCAGCGGGAAGACGTACCGGCGTTTCTCCCGTGATAAGGGGTTTTGCTGTCCAGGATGGGGCCAACACAACAAGCCTGCGCCTAAAACACCGGGGCCCCGTCTCCACGCACGACGGCCAATATCACATCGAAAATGGCATCGGCCTGCTGTGCCACCCAACTTGCCAACACACCAGCCGGCGTCTAATCGCGCTGGATCAGAGTAAGCGTCTATTCGGCTCTGTTGGAACAAATGAAAGTATATCGTTTTGATGTCCTGGGAGATCTGTCCTGGGCTACCTGCGTGCTAAGCTTACAGGTGGTGTTTGCTATTTATGCATTTTCCCACGTGCCGGGAGCGGTACCCTTCTTGTCTGCTCCGGCGTTTGGCGGCGGTGCCGTAGGTGTCTTGTGGGCAGAGTGGGGGTGGTGGGTGTCTCTCGGCCCCTCCCCTTGCTAGCACCAGCGGTGGGAGAGCCTTGTTATCTTTCCCCACCCCCCGGGGGGGCTTGGCCCCCTTGCCTTTCCCTGGACTGGAGACCGATGCGGGGGGTGTTGGTAGCCCTTCCTGTCCCCCGGGTCTTGAGTCTTTCCTTGCTTGGTCTGTGGTGTCACTACCGTCGGTTCCTGGCCGCCACTGGACTGCTGCCCAGACGGGCAAGCAGGCAGGCAGGCAGACGTCAGCTGGAATAGCAGAGGCGTGTCGCGCAAGCAGAATCCGTTTCAAATATGTGCGAGGTTTGGCCGTGGCAGCACGTGTCTTTCAGTTGCTCGCCCATCTCTTAGCTTGGACGTGCATTGTTACTTATTTCAATTGCAACAATATGAGGTGGCTTTTTTTTCCCCCGTCGTCACGTTTATTGATTCCACTCTTATTCAGGGAGAGTCATCCACATCTAAAGAACCGGGCATTGGAAATTCATCATCAGACCGGGGTCGCCTCCTGAAGCGCAGAGAATCGGCCGAGTGTTGACGAGCGCCCGAGGCCACAGACTCTTGCCTGGAGTTGCGGGCCGCATCCGCGCCCTTCGCCCTGCTCATAGATCGCTCGACATCGGCGATGATATCGTCGCCGCCGCGAGTGTTCTTCTTCCGGGGCCACAGGCTGGGCAGCGGGATCTCCTGGAAGCGCGGCTCGACGCAGCGCTCGTCGAACCAGCGGTGCAGGCGCGACTCGATCAGTTGGGCGATCTTTGGCACGTCCTGCAGGCGCGAGCGGCTGCCGACGAGACTGCGGATCGAGAAGTCGAGGCGGTAGTCGTCGAGGAAGGTGAAGACCATCTTGGTGCCCGTCTGGCGCGACGGGTTGCTTGGGATGAAGGATATGGCCAGGGTGCCGCTGAAGCGCACGACTGAGACAGCCAGGGCGACGGGGAGCACGGCGGTCAGGCGCTTCGGGTAGTTGAGCAGCAGCTTGGTCTCGAGGGCGAGGGTGATCATGTCGCTCAGGTCCACGTCCATGCGGGCCTGCAGGGTGCCACCCTCGCGGTGCGCCATGTTTGCGTCAAAGGCCTTGCCGCCGGCGGGGCCAAAGGTGAGGCCATCCTCGTCCACGGGGATGATGCGGCAGTTGCTGAATATGGGGAAGTCCTCGCCGAGGCTGAGCTCGGTAACGTGGATCTCGTCGAGGAAGTCTGGGCGACTGGTGCCGTTGAGGGCCTTGGTCAGTGACGTGAGAATGGCGTCGTCGTGCTGGGCGTCGCTGCGGAACTGGGCGATGGTCTGGGCGACCAGGACGTTGAACCAGTCGAGGCTCTCGGGCTGGTGGCTGTCGACGCGGTAGTACGTCTTGCTGAGGATGGAGCCGATGGTCAAGGCGGGCGGGCCGGGGCGCAGAATGCTGGACTTCTTCTTCTTGAGGGCTGGGTGGTGGCCGCCACCCTGCAGGTGTGTGTGCTCGGGGCGTTGGCTGGAGCTGCGGAGGCTGAGCAGCGACCTTTTGTGCGCGAGCGTGCGTGACCGCCGTTCGTTGGCCCGGGCCGTTGCCGTCTCTTCTGGGGAGGGCGGGTCGCCAAATATGAAGAACTTTATGAAGGCCGCGATCAGAAGCACGACCGACAGCTGGCCGACGATGAGGCCCTGCGTGAAGGATAGTCTGTGCCGCGGCTCCCGTCAGCAGTTGCGCTGTCCAGAAGGCAGGAACCGAGGTCAGAACCACCCACTTACGTAGGCTCTGCCCGGGCAGGATAGGTATTAGGCGACATCACGATGCTGGCCGGAGCAAAGCATGGCTCGCTCGATGTGTTGACCTGCGCTGGGAAGCGATGCAAAGCTCTGCTGGTGCGGTGACATCAATCACCAAATGCATGTCTGCACAGTGGAGCTTCCGCTTCGGGCTAAGCTTACAATGCCCCACTCTAACCACTACCTGCGGTGCTGTGCCGCGCTGGCGCATCCCAGTTTAGCAGCCTCATGGAAGGCCACGGCGATGGAAGCGACGACATGCAAGGAAGTGCGCCAATCGCCATGCTCGTAGCACCAGCGTGCATCTTCTCTTGATCCAACAGCTAGGTAGGTCTGTATTCCATTCCGCTGCTGTCAATCACCGCCATCAAATCTGCAAGATCCGGCCACGTTTGGTTTCACCCATCGTCGCCGCAGCCACCCGCTATCAAACAACCCCTTGTATCACCCCCTGGCGGTAACATCGTCTTCAGCCTCGCCCACGTGAGCTCTCCCAATAGCGACGGGCCGTTGGAGGGTGTGGGAGCCTAGTTTTCCGCTGGTCCTGATACCAGCGCAACACCCATATCGGGCAGATCTCGTCACACTAGCAGCTGCCCGGCCCCGAAGACGGGCCCCTGCCATTCAGAATGGATGTCGTCCAGGCCGTTTCGGGGTACATCTCCAAGATGATATCCACGGGCGACAACCCCACCGGCTCACAGTCGGCAAAGATGAAGATGTTGCTGCTGGACAAAGACACGGTGCCGATCCTGTCGACGGCCGTGACGCAGTCCACGCTGCTCAACCACGAGGTGTACCTCACGGACCGCCTAGATAATGCGAACCGCGAGAAGATGCGCCACCTGCGATGCTACTGTTTCGTGCGGCCCTCGCCCGACTCTATCCAGTTTTTGATCGATGAGCTGAGGGAGCCCAGATACGGCGAGTACTACCTCTACTTCAGCAACGTGGTCAAGAAGTCGTCGCTCGAGCGGCTGGCCGAGGCGGACGACCACGAGGTCGTCAAGCTAGTCCAGGAGCACTTTGCCGACTTCGTCGTCGTCAACCCGGACCTGTTCGACCTCAACATTTCCCTGCCCCAGCACAGACTCTGGAGCACCTCGCCCGACATGTGGAACTCGGACTCGCTACAGCGTGCCACCGAGGGCATCCTCGCCGTCCTGTTGGCGCTCAAGAAGAAGCCTCTGATACGGTACGAGAAGAATAGTCTGGTTGCCAAGAAACTGGCCACCGAGGTGCGCTATCACATGACCCAGGAGGACCAGCTGTTCGACTTCCGCAAGGTCGATACCCCACCGATACTGCTCATCCTCGACCGCCGCAACGACCCAGTTACCCCGCTGCTCACCCAGTGGACGTACCAGGCCATGGTGCACCAGTTGATTGGTATCAAGAATGGCCGTGTCGATCTGGGCGACTCGCCCAACGCGAGCCCTGAGCTCAAGGAGATTGTGCTGTCTCAGGACCAGGACCCGTTCTTCAAAAAGAACATGTACCTCAATTTTGGAGACCTGGGATCCAACGTCAAGGACTATGTCGAGCAATTCCAAACCAAGCACAAGAACAACGTTCAGCTCGAGTCCATTGTCGACATGAAGCGTTTTGTTGAGGAGTACCCTGAGTTCCGGAAGCTGTCGGGCAACGTCAGCAAACATGTCCATCTCATGTCTGAGTTGAGCAGGAGAGTAGGAGAAGAGAACTTGCTCGAGGTCAGCGAGTGCGAGCAAAGCTTGGCATGCAACGACAACCATGCTGCAGACCTAAAGGTAGGGAAGGCCGGAAATTGGGGCCTGCAAGTCCTATGCGTGAAATGTTGTTGTTGATTTGCTGGGCTAACGGTGAGAGCATAACAGAGTGTTCAAAAAATTATCCAAAACCCAGCAGTGACGGCGGAGCATAAAACCGGCCTTGTGGCTCTCTACGCGTTACGTTACGAGAAGCACCCCTCCAGCGCACTTCCAATGTTGGTGGATCTCCTCAGTGCGGTGGGTGGAGTGCCGGCGCGGTTGGCCGACCTGGTACCCAAGCTTCTGGTGTACCAGAACTCGGTGTCGCAGTCGCAAGGGGCGGGTGGGGGCATCTCGGACATATTCGAGTCGACGGGGATATTCTCTGGCGCCAAGGCGTTCAAGGGCCTCAAGGGCGTCGACAACGTCTACACGATGCACTCGCCACGGCTCGAGGGGACGCTGCAGAGCCTGATCAAGGGCCGGCTCCGCGAACAACAGTTCCCCTTTGTCGACGGCGGCGGTGCTACCAAGGACAAGCCGCAGGACATCATAGTCTTCATGGTCGGCGGAGCCACGTACGAGGAGGCCAAGACGGTGGCCGGCATCAACGCGTCCTCGCCGGGCGTCAGGGTCGTGCTCGGGGGCACGACGATGCACAACGCTGACACGTTCCTGGAGGAGGTCGATGATGCTGTCAGGTCATGGCCGGAACCCCCACCCACGACTGCGGCAGGCAGGTTGAGGAAAGAGATTGGGCGGAGGTAATGTCTAGAGTCAGTTGCTTGTTGCAAGAAGGCGCGTGGAATACAGTACGGGCCTGGAAGGCATTCTGGCTGAACTAGGACTGGCGGAGCGATGCTTGTGCGTTTGTTTGAAGAACACCTGCTAGATTTTTGGATCCATTAGTTATGAATATGCTTTACGCAGCTTACCAAGAATTCGCAGCCATATGCCTTTTCATGAGGAAGAGTTGTCTATGTTACCCAGTCCCCTTGTACCTGGGATATGTTATTGCAAATAAGTCGAAGAGTAGCGGACAGTCGAATGTGCGATTGATTGTGATAAGACGAAAAATAAGTAAGACATTAAAAATAATATTGGCAAAAGTGAAAAGAACTCGGACACAAATCGCCAACCCAACACAGTCAGTCTTGTTCGAGGCAATGTGCAATGTCGGCAGGGTTCTCTAGCGCTCAGGGTTGGGGTTAAAGCCTACCTGTGGTGGGCTACCCTATCGATAAGCGAAAAGTTCCCATGACGGCGAGCTTGCACCTCTATGGGATTTGTGAATTGCGCATCCTCCCGCAAAGCCATGCCTTTTAATCGCCAGGCGCTGGCATGAGCTTGTTGATAGCCATGCCTTTTTCTGTGTCCTTTTTGGGCGCACTTGGCCCAACTAGACTCGTCCTTCCCGCCAGTTTTCGAGCCGGGCGGAGGAGGACGTTTGCCACGGTCAACGAACTTGCGAGGTGATTCCCCCCTGGCATCTCCACTGGACGGGGTCGTAGCCAGCTGACCTCGGTCCAATGATGGCGGTATAGGAAGTTTGATGTCGTCGTCATCGGCGGAGGCCACGCCGGAGCCGAGGCGTGTGCCGCGGCGGCGCGGACGGGCGCGAGGACGGCGTTGGTGACGCCCAAGACGGACAACCTGGGCACCTGCTCGTGCAACCCGAGCTTCGGCGGCATCGGCAAGGGCGTCATCATACGCGAGATCGACGCGCTGGACGGCCTGGCCGGGCGCGTCGTCGACCGCGCGGGCGTGCAGTTCAAGGTGCTGAACCGCCGCAAGGGCCCTGCCGTCTGGGGGCCCCGCGCCCAGATCGACCGCGAGCTCTACAAGACGCACATGCGGGATGCGCTGCTCGGCCACCCCAACCTGACGGTCGTGCTGGACAGTGTGGCCGACATTGTGCTCGGCCAGGCGGACGGCCCGGACGCCAGGCCGGGGCAGGGCAAGATCGCGGGGGTGCGGCTCGAGTCGGGCGAAGAGCTCGCGACGGGCCAGGTCGTCATCACCACGGGCACGTTCCTGGGCGGCGAGATCCACATCGGGCTGGAGAGCTTCCCCTCGGGCCGCATTGGCGAGGCCGCCACGTTTGGGCTCAGCCGCTCCCTCAGGGACGCGGGCTTCCAGATGGGCAGGCTCAAGACGGGAACGCCGCCGCGGCTCGCCAAGAGCAGTATCGACTTTGGCATGCTTGAGGTGCAACACGGAGACGAGCCCCCGATGCCCTTCAGCTTCATGAACGAGCGCGTCGCGGTCGAGAAGCAGCTGGACTGCCACGCCACCTACACCAACCAGGCCACGCACGACGTGGTGCGCGCCAACCTCGAAAAGACCATCCATATCCGTGAGACGGTCAAGGGGCCCCGCTACTGCCCGTCGCTCGAGTCCAAGATCATACGGTTCGGCCACCGCGAGCGGCACATCGTCTGGCTCGAGCCCGAGGGCTTCGACTCGGATGTCGTCTACCCCAACGGCCTATCCATGACGATCCCCGCGGAGGCGCAGGAGCAGCTGTTACGCACGATCCCAGGCCTCGAGAGGGTCAAGATGCTGCAGCCGGGCTACGGGGTCGAGTACGACTACGTGGACCCGCGCTCGCTCAAGACGTCGCTCGAGACCAAGGCCATCCTGGGCCTGTTCCTAGCCGGCCAGATCAACGGCACCACGGGCTACGAGGAGGCCGCGGGCCAGGGCATCGTGGCCGGCATCAACGCCGGGCGCGCGGCGCTGGGGCTCCCGGCGGCAACGCTCTCGCGGGCCGACGGCTACATCGGCATCATGATCGATGACCTGGTGACCAAGGGCGTGTCGGAGCCGTACCGCATGTTCACGTCGCGGTCCGAGTACCGCATGTCGACGCGCGCCGACAACGCCGACGAGCGCCTGACGGCCCTGGGCCGCTCCTGGGGCGTCGTCTCGGACGCGCGTTGGGCCGCCTTCGAGCGCGAGCGCGCCCAGGTGGCGGAGCTGACGGACCTCCTGGCCGGCGTCCGCCTCGGCGGCGAGGGCTGGCGCGCGGCCGGGCTGAGCAACGTGGGCAACTCGAGCGAGGCCATGGACGGCCTCGCCATGGTGCGCCGAGGGTACACTATCGACGACGTGGCCGGTAGCAGCGTCGCCGCTCTGGGGCGGGCCGCCACCGACTTCTCGCCGGGGGTCCGCCAGCGCGTCGCTATCGAGGCCGCCTACGAGCCCTACGTGCGCAGGGAGCGCGGCCACCACGAGCGCGCGTCGCGCGACGAGGCCCTGCTGCTGCCCGCCGACATGGACTACGCCGCCGTCGTCGGCATCTCCACGGCCGAGCGCCAGGTCCTCGCCGCCGTCAGGCCCGAGACCCTCGGCCAGGCCAGGAGGCTCGAGGGCGTCACCCCCTCCGGCCTCGTGCGCCTGCTCGCCCACGTCCGCGGCGCCGTCGGCCGCAAGGCCCGCGCTACCGGCCCGAAGGCGGCCCTGCCTGAGGAGCCGTGCTTGGACGCCGCGCGTGCTTCGGCTTCCGTGTAGGCCGGGCTTCCAGCAGGCGGGCTCTATCGCCTGATATATTTAATACTTCCTTGGCGTTCTGTCCTGCTTACTTCCTTGTTTTTGTACACTATTATACCCACGTATCCCGCCCTAAGCCCCTCTACCGTTCACGACGATGCTGGTGGCGGCAGATTTGCCCTTCAAATTCAAGCAGGCTATTTCACGGAGTTGAGGAGTCGGACATGGAGATTTTCTTCCTGGGGCACTTGGGGAAAAGCAGCATGCAACATGTATGATATCAGAGGTAGTCACAGCCACCACCAGTCAAACTCTAACACAGGGAAGAGGAGATGCCTCCCTTTCAGTGACTTGGGCTTTTGCCACTCATTCCCGAAAAGAAGTCAAATATGCCATTTCCAGAATAGACCGTCGAGCGGTAGGCAGCCGGAACATGCAAAGGGGGCGCATAAATGGCCGCGTTGCACACACCCAACAACCAGAGTCGGTGGCAAAGCCAGCCTCCTGTTTTCCTTTGTTGTCGGCATCTCTTGTCGTTTCTCACACCGACCAGTCGAGATCATCATCGATCAGGGGAGGGCGAGCCTCTCCCCGCCCGCCCCAAATAGCCAACGCGGACGTGGTGACACAATACGTTTTTTTTTTAGCAAAACACACCCGCACGTCACCCAGCAGGCAAGGAAAATGGCGCAACAGCGACGTTCGCGTCATATTCCTTGCCGTGACCTCGTTTCCTTTTCCCAATCTCTCAGTTCCCCGCCGAGAAAATGGCCGAAGGGGGGGGTGGGTGAGGTTGGTGTTTTTGTGTGTGACGGCTACAAGAGGGGTGGTGGCGTCCAGCGGCCGCAACTATCACGAGCAAAAGAAGCGAAAAAAAATTAAAAATTATTGTTTCAGGGTCCCTAGAAATGCAACCACATGTATGTAGGTATGTACGTCCGTGTGCGAGATTGCCTTTTTTTTATACCTTTTTTTTTTTTTTTGGCACCATCGGCGCATTATGCCCTGCGGCGGCCTCTCTCCTCTTGTGCACTCGTGGTCCTAACCCGCTCCTTTTCATGGGCTGGCCGCCTGCGTGGGCGCCCGGCTAACGGGGAGGGGGGACATGGCCGTAATGGACAAGCAAAACCCCCCCAACTGCGGCGGCGAGGAGGACGCCAGTGACGGCGGGCTTACGTTCCTGCGTTTCGTCTGCCCTGAGGAGCAGCTGGTTTGCCCCGGGGTCCGGACCCTGGAGGGCTTTCGCCGTGTCGTTTCCAGCGCGTGGTAGGCGTGCATGCTGTGCTGCGCGTACATCCAAAATGTACCTAGCCTACTCGTTAAGGAAACCCGGGTAGACAGCCATCCTCGCCAGTGACAAGGCACCGAGTTCCCCTGCGCCACGGGTGGTCATTTTGCACTAGAGCCAAGTCCATGCCGTGTATTATGTTATTTACTGTTGTGCAGTGCATTTCTTCTCTATTTTAGCATGGCTGCAATAGCGCCACTCCACACCCATTATTCTCTTTTCTCCCTTCCTCTCAGAGAGGTGGCCGCTTCGTGCTTGCGGACTTCGCGTCAGACAGGATCTTGACGGCGTCCTTGCTGAACACGTAACTAGCTCCGCTCCAGACCGTCGTCACCGCGACCACGTATCTGAGAGACGAAAAAAGGTGGGTTGGCAAATGCGAGTTAGTCGATAGCTGACATGCATGCAAGGACAGACAGCCAAAGCGTTGTGCGTGCATGCGTGCGTGCGTGCGTGTTGTGTGTATATGTGCGTATATATCAGAGTCCCGTGTTGCAATGAGCACTTGCATGGACAGATGTCATGGCACCGAGGCAAACGTCGGGATACGACAGGATACGACGGGCAAGGTCTTACTGACCGGTGAGGGGCGTGTGTGGCGGGGGGGCAAGACAAGCGCATCGTCACAGAAAAGAAGATAGGAAAAAAAAAAAGCACAAAACCAGTGCAGGGCGGCTGGCAGACAATGCGAGGGAGGGGAGGGGTGTCAAAGCAAATAGCACTCACTGGAAGCCAGTCAAGGATGCCGACAGGTCCAAGGGCAGGACAGGGGCGGTAGCGGTCAGGCCCATCAGACCTAGCTGCAGGAACGTGTTGTACTTGCTGATTGTGGTCGGCCTAACCTCTGCTGAGGGCAGCGAGAAGTCCCAGTAGCGCCCAAAGGTTTTTGGCGGCGGAAGCGAGACCCACCGGTAGTAGATGGCCGCGATGGCGAGTCCGACGTCGCGGCCGATTATCAGGGCGACAAGCCAGACTAGCAGCGGACATTGCAACGTTGTTTTTTTTTTGTTATTTTAGTCTGGCGTCAGCCGCGATGCTATTTGGTCCGTATGCAGCACCAAGGCAGGAAGGAGGGGGGTGCGGCAAGGGGAACACGGGCGCTCGGGGCGGCCGAGAATCAACGAGGGGTCGGCAAGGGTCCGAGCACACCATCTGGGATAATGGGTTGGCACGAGTCCTCCGCGCTAGCGCGGATGGTCTACTAAAGACCCCCCTCTAGTTTGCATCATATCCTGGGAAGGCAAGGATAATCGGGCCAAGCACCAGACCGGCGGCCAAATCCGCGGCTGGCCCTGAGCCATCAAGGGGTCCTCGACAGGGGTCACCAACAACACGACGAGGGGGCACCAAAAGGAAAAACCGAAGAAGAAAAGAAGGAGTAAAAAAGCAAAGGGAAGTGGGTTAAAGGAACCAATGACGAGGGGATATCAAAATAGGCCAAGCTTGGGGGAGGGTGTGTAAGTTTTGAGTTACGACAGGCCGTAATACGAATGTAGGTGAGGTGTCATAATCAGAAGGAACAAGAAGTAAGACTCCAAGGTGACAAGTCGGAAAACTCACGCGGGAGGGCGCCCTTGGCGGCAAGGCTGAGCGTCAGGACCAGCATGAGGGTCTTGTCGGCCATGGGGTCGATGATGGTGCCGACCACGGTGCCCAGGTTCCAGCGGCGAGCGATCCAGCCGTCGAGCAGGTCCGACAGGCCGGCGTAGGCAAAGAGGCCGAGGGCGAGGGCGTGCTGGTCGTGCAGGATGGCGTAGCCGATGATGGGGGCGGCGACCAGGCGCGAGGCCGTGAGCATGTTTGGGATCGTGTAGATGTTCTCCCGGGCCGCCAAGGCCGGCGGGGAAGCAGGTGGCAGCCTGGCGGCTCCCTGGCTCTGGGTCGCAGCAGGGTGGCCCCGTGGTGGAGAGACCGATGAGGCCGAGGGAGATGAGGGGCGCGGGGCACCAACAGCCTCATCATGGTCATGGGCGCCCTTGTGAGGCTGCTGCCCTGGTCTAGACCCTTGCTAGTCAGCCAATCAGCCACCAGGCCACCCCCGTCTGTGATGAGAAGGAGGAGGCGCTTGGTCCACACCACGAACCCCTGGGGCGCCACAGGAGGCTGAGCCTCATTTACCTTGCCCGTTTATGGTTGGTTCGACGGGGGACAGGGAAACCAGCCGTGGGGCAGATGGCAAATAGGATAAAGAAGCAGGATGGAAGAAAAGAAGCAACGAGCAACAGGGCAAATTTACCCTCTAGAACGAGTGCGCCAGGGGCCGGAGAGCGAGAGGCAGCGGCGGCCCCGGAGCAAGGGTGCCGCAGCCGCAGCTGATGGGGACCGCGCCGCCAGCAGCAGCGAGGGGGATAGGAACGGCAGCGGAGTCGCCGAGGTAGCACCTGCACCACCATCACCACCGCCGGCCGAGAGGTGCCGCAGGAAGGGCCGAGGTGAGGGTGTCATGGTCAGGAAGCCCGCAGTCCGACATGTACCTGTTGCTGTTGCCACCGTGCTTCTCTTGCTGGCAGCCAGCGCCGTGCGGGCGCAGAGTCTCTGCATCATGAATGTGGCCACTGACGGCTAGACAAGAAGCCCAAAGTCGGGGGGGAGCCTTGGGAGGCGGATGGAGTGAGCGATCGAATCAATGCGGTCCATTGATTCTGTCCAGGTTGGGTTGACAATTGAATTGCCCTTGGTGCTCCACATCAGCTTGGGTGGGCTTGCAGATCGCGCTGCCCAATGAAAGCCACAGATGTACCTTGACAGATTGCCCCATGCACTGCAAAGCCCCACTTTCTCAGCCAACCGAAGTTGCCTGGGCAGTCTAACACATACATCACCTTCCAGACCTGGGCGCTCAGGATTCACAACGTCACCAGTGCCAGAAACATGACAACGTGCGCGTCTTCGTCTTGGGATTCTGTCATGATTGTTGTTCTTAAAAATATATATCCTAGTCGCTGAAAGTCAAAAGATCTTACTTTACCCCTTTTGTATTGTACATGAAGCCCATTCAAAGCCGAAAACGCTAGAACTAACTGTGGTTATTCCCCCCAAGGCCCAAAACGGGCCGTATTGAAAGCACACCCAGCCACCTTTGGCAGCAAACCGGCCTCTGGCCAAACTCCAATCCCTAGTAGGTTCGAGCATCTGGTCTCGTGTAACTGCAGGCCCACCTTTGGACGCCTATTCCCCCCCACCCCCCAAAAGTCAATCATCCCCCCGCCTCTTCTATATCAGCTAGTATAGTGACTGCTGGGAGGCAGCATGGTACCCATAAACACCTCTGGGCCCATGTCGCCGCTGCGATCTTGGCCGTCGCCCTCGTGATGGGCCATGGGGAACATGCCAATCCCATTGTCGTACGCAGGGAATGTTGCCGCCCCGCTGTGGGTTCCGTAGTGGCTGTTCTGGGCCTCGTAGTGGCCGTTATGCGCGTCGTAGTGTGCGCCGTCTGCTTCATCGAAATGGCCATGTTGCTGTGGCTCGTAGTGGCTATGGCCTTGAAACGAGTGTCCCATTGTCATCATGGGCTGCATGTGTTGTTGGAGTGTGAAGGGGACTGAATGCTGCACGTGGGGGACCTGCGGAAAGGTCGACTGTCGGTACAGATGATCCGTCGGGAGAACTGGGATGCCGCCCCCAGACATGGATCGAGGCGCTTGCGTGGGCATGGGCATGCCACCTTGAGGGTGCATAAAATCGTATGCAGTCGGCTGCTCCGTGTGGAACTGTGACATTAATCTAGGGTCCGAGTCCGAGACGGGATTGCGGAAGTTTTGCTGGCTGAAGAGTGCGGCACGAGGGATGAGGCGGTTGAATCTTGGGTGACTTGAGGGCGCCACCAGTTTGCCGGCAAGCACGTCGTCCACCTTATAGTACGAAACCAGGTGGTGAGGCACGCCCTGCCATTGAACGCTGATGGTCTTCTTGACCAGGCCGCCCTCCTTGAAGGGGTACGAGTCGATCAGCGACCCGATTAGCGATCGCTCTGACTCGGCTCTGCTCTGCTCTCCCTCCTCCAGACCGGTGGTCTGGCTGGCTGCCGCGCCTATGGCAGCCGCTGCTCTCGCGTTCTCGGCCGTCTTAGAGGGCGTGTTCTTCTTGGGCTTGCGTGCCCTCTTCTTCTCTCCGGGGGGAAATGGTCCCTCCAGCTCGCGGTAAATGAGAAAGTTGCCGAGTATCCGGCTTGGACTCCAGTTGTAGCCATCCGTCCACCTCTTGATGCCCGACGAGTGCTCCTCGTACACGAAGACGGCACCGCTCCTGATCAGTGTCTCCCGCTCGCGGTCGTGGGGTCGGCGCGGGACGTGGTATAGAGCGCCTTGTAGACAGGCCTCGAACAGGATGAGAGCATCCATCGTGGTTCCGACGAAACCCTCGTACGTGACTGCCAATGGCGGGGTGCCACCGCCGGCTGTTGTTGGTGAGGCCATGGCGATCGGGTTTGAGATGAACCCAGAATCTACTAGGCCGAAAGGACACCGCTCAAGCAAGGCCAGAACCCCTTCGCCGGAGAGGGTTAAGCTTAAAGGGTCCGGACGGGGAGCGTTGGAGAAGTCAAAAAAACTAGCTGTTCCTGAGCGGCTGTTGTTGAAGCCGCCGGAAGTCTCCCTGCAAAGACAAAATGCCAGGTGGGAAGAAAATTCCTTTGCGCAAGTTAGACGACAGAGTTCTTACTAAAGTGAGCGTGTGTGTTTCTGAGGAAGGAGCGGTCGGGCGCATGTGTTGTGCCAAATGAGAGATAACGAGCGATTCCCAAGAAGAAAGGAGTGCAAGAAGGACGGGCGCCAAGGTCCTGAGGGGGAAGAAGGGCCGAACGAACCTGACGGAGAAAGCTGGGCCTGCGGTTTTGGAGCCGGCGTCCAGGGCTAGTGGGAAGCGCAGCCCTATGGCGGATTTATACGCCGAGCAGCTCCAGCAGACCGGCCCAGGTGACTGACAGGCGGGCGGCAGCTGTGTGAGTTTGGACGGTGGGTGGTGGGGGAAGGTTAAAGTTTTTTTGACGTGGTTGAGCGAAAGGTTCTTGCTTTATACGGGGTGGGCCATAAAAGAGGCACGCCCCAAGAACCGGCACTCGGTCCACGCCAAAAGCACAGAACCCAGGTCGCGCTTCTGCTTCGGCACAGCTGGTAGCGGCGGGAATGAGGGGCCGTCTGCAGCGACTTTTGCGCCAGGTAAGCGGGTGCTGCAAAGTGGCTCGACGCGGGTACAGTTTGTACGCCGATCAGGACAGGACCGCGGTTTCCTCGACGGGGGGTGGTGTGTGTGTGTGTGTGGCCTCAACTGGTGACGATACGCTTGGTTGGGGGTGGGGGATGTAAAGGGCAAGCCACCAGTCCAGCAGCCCAAGAGCCAGTTGTGCAGACAAAAAGTTTACCACGGGTGTGGCTCAGCCCATTCGTTCTGCAGCTCGTGTCCCTTTTTTTTTTTTTCTTTTGCTTCGGTGGAGTTGGCACTGATACAAGAGGCGTTTGTTTGGGGATGCTGCCTGGTGTCCGGGGACGTGATTGCGAGGGAAGGCTGATGATGTGAAGATACGGCGGGTATGGCGCGGCGGCGGCGGCGGCGGCGGCGGCAGTCAGTGCTCAGGGAAGAGGCGTCAAGACAGCCAAGGACCCTGGGTGTTGACGACGCGATATGCGCCACGGACTAGAGAAGTGATGGAAGGAGAGCTGCAGGACGCGGCAGGGTGTGGATGGGAAGCGTCTTTGGTGACGGATGCGCGGCGACCTGTGGGCTTTTCTCTCTTCCCTTTCCCCTCCCCTCTGTGCTGCCGGCTTGGACAAGCGAGCTAAGAGTGCTGCTAGTTGACGGGCGTCGACGGCGTAGCTGGCGTGCTGGCGGTCGTGCTCGAAAACAGCTGATGACCGATGTCTCCGTCGCTTCCTCTGCTAGGGCGGCTGGCTATTGCTGACACGCTAGCACCTTGGCCGGGCCGTGCTGGTGTTGGAAGTGCTGGGAGGCGAGTGGTGTGGAGGATGCGAGACTTGGGCGCGGATGGAGGTGGTGATAAATACTGTGGGATGTTGTCTGGCATATAGCAGGCATGGGCTGGGTGGGATACCTGGGGGTGAAAGTGGCTCCGTCCGGCCGAAAGATCGTCGTTGTGCCGCGGTGCTGTTGTCTTTTCTTTTTTTTTCTATTGGGGCTTCGGGACCTGATCTCTTTTGGTGCTCTTATTTTCTTTTTCGTATCCTTCTTATTTGCTGTAGTGGGGACGACCTGTGGCTCGGGTTGCGGAAAGAACCAAGGTCGAGGGTACTAGATGTTGACGTCCACAAACCCAAGGGGTAGGGTAGTAGTGCAGCAGCAGCAGAGGAGGAGATGGATGGAGAGCGCGCCCAGGCCTGATATGTACTCGCGTCGGCGTGCCTCCCAGGAACTACCAGACGGTTGAGATATTTAATATGGTGGCCCTGTCGTGTAGTAAGGATGGTGCTCCGAGCAAGTTGTGGAGGAGGAGGAGAGGGGTCGGGGGGGCGTCTCCAAGAGGCGAGGTGTGCAGTTAGTGGAGGAAGGTAGGCGTGCAAGGTAGCAGCAGGGGAGGGCAATGGCAATGGCAATGGCAATGGGTTACCGGGCTGCTAGTCTGGAGCACGAGCACGGGCAGGCGGGAGGTGGGCACTGGGCAGCGAAGGGGATTTGGACTGGAGCCGTCTTTGCAGCGCGGCCGTCGAGAGAAGGCCTGGTCTGCAAAGAACGGTCGTTGCCAAGAGAATACAGAAGTGCAGCAGAATCTCAGCGGCGTCGATCCGTGCAGGAGGGGTGGGGGGTTGCAACTGTGAACTGTGGGACTGCTGGGGGGAGACAGGACAGACATGCACGATGGAGGGCAGGGCAGCTAACTACAGATAGTCCGACCGCTTCCTCCAGGGTGCTGGGCAAAAAAAAAAAAAATACAGGGGAAAAAAAAGCACACTAAACCCGGCCGAGCTGTGGTGGAAACTTGCAAGCAGCATGCTGCCCCTCCCCATAAAGGTGTTCAATCCTTGCCTATTGTGGGTAAGTCTTGCGGTCTTCCACTAGAGCAGGGTCCAGGGCTGTTGACCCTCGGCGGGCATGGTGACAAGAGCACAGCAAGACCACCACCGACTCTCTCTCTCTCCCTCTCTCTCTTTCTGAGCCAGCACGACTGGAGCAGCATTTTGCCGTCCCCAGCGAGCGCCTGAACGGCAGCTGCTCTACACGTACTATGCACTGGGCTGGTCTGCACTGCGTATGCGCCGTGCAGGGCGCCTACGTTTTGGGCGCTCTGCCTCCAGCCACGGGCACATGTACAGGCCCGGGCACAGGCACAGGCACAGGCAGAACGCTCAGAATTGACGCTCTTGCCATATGTTCATGGATGGTCCCTCCTTCCCCATCAAGGCCCGTCTCTCCCCAGTCCTGGTTGCCGTTGGATCTCTGGCACGGCAGGTGCTCTACACACACCCCCACTGGCAGGGAAAGACCTACCCAAACAGCATATAGCTCGCCGCCCAGGCAACCCCCGAGGACAGACGGCATGTCCATCCAGCAGGGAGCGCGGCGCCCGACCTTCCCTGGAGGGGAGACGACGGTGAGGGAGCACGGGGCAGGAACAGCGCCGAGACAGAAGGGTGACGGCGAGGCCGCACTCCTGCAGGCCTGGCCTCGGCCGCTGTGTTCGCCCTGCCGCTGCTCGCTCGCTCCATCATTTCCTCATTTTGGCTGCCTTGCCGTCGCCGTCGTCTTCCTGTTCTGTTTCTCGTTCCGTCTCGTCGTAAATGCACATGGTCCCCCTCCATTTCCACCCCCGTCTTGCTCTAGTTTGCGGTATTTCGGTCGCATGGGGCAAGCATGGGTCAAGCATGACGACCTTTTTTTTCAACAGGTGTTTTGATTTTTGGTTGTTTTTTCCCTTCTTTTATTTCTCTTCTTTTTTTTTCACCGTCTCTAATAGGCGTTTTTGTTGGCTTTGACACCACACCACACCCCACGCACACGCAAACACGCACACTTACACGCACAAGCAAACACGCACACACACTATCCAGGGGAGTTGGTTACACATACTGGCATTGCTCCGGAAAGGGTGGGGTGAATGGAGCCTTGGATCAATGATAGGTGCTGTTGGTTGTGTTGCGGTGGTGACTTGCTGCAGCCCTTCGCACACGTACGATAAAAATCTTCCGGGGCTGGAAGGATGCAAAGGTTGGCACACAGCACAGCCAAGATTGTGCTACACGATCTGTGTACCACCACCAAATGGGATTGAAGTACCGGCGGGAGCGGAGGCGGCTGGCGCCCCATTTTCCAAATTCTACAATCCTCGCGCGTTGGGCGGGAGTGCCACGCCAGGCTTGGCTCTGGCGCTAGCACACTTGCCGAGTCAGGCAAAAAGATGGGTCGGTTGTTTACAAAATGGCGTTTATTTGGATAATTATCACGAGAACAAATACGAAAACAAACGACAAGAAAAAAGAAAGACTAGTGAGGTACACTATACCCATGCTGGACATCATGAGCGCCAATCACGCCAAGCTGCCGCAATCCAGATCTTGCTGCCTTGTCCCCTTTCAGGTATCCCCTGTGCAGCGGGCTGGCCGTGGCTTACACGCTGGCTTCAATCTCGGACAGACGTCGTACCTACAGGACAGGTGATGATGGGGGTGGGGACGCTCACCGGGGGAGGGGAAGGAGTGTGGCGGCTGCCCATTTTCAACACGGACGCCATGGCGATGATGAATTGACTATCGAACCTCGACCGACGAGGCAGGCTCGTCCGCGTCATGTCAGGGGGGATGGGAAACGAGAAGAATAGGATTGTGAATCGTTCGTTCTATCCATTCTCCCC